TCCAAATATAGTTGCTATAACTTATCACATAATGTCCTTTTCTAGACATAAAAGAATTCATATTCATGTTGCATGTTGTGTGCACATATTTCTTTTCACCATTGTCCTTCAGGGACACACAATTAATATTATAACAATGACATCCAATTTTTTCATCAACTGCCACATTTACAGAACTTTAAACTATAACAGGAATGTAGTCTCAAAATCATTCAATCTCAAGTATTGTAACCCCACGTACACAATATCTTGATTCATGGGACTTCAGGCCCAATATAAAATATTTGCTCATCCATAAACATCGATCATAATTCAAAACAATTTAGGACTACAGGTCCATCATATTTCGTCTGGCCAGACTTTATTATTGTGGATTATGAATCGATAGTTTTGGAAAAATAAATCATTGACGTCAATCTAATCACTATGATTCCTGTTTCATCAAAATCCTCTATATGAGCCACAAAAGAGGAACTCATGTTCTATATCATAGAATTTCTATAATTTATCAGCTGCAACATTTAACTTATATCATCCTCTTATAGAGGCATAAGTGACTTACTGTAATAAAATATGGTTTCATTTTGTATACACATAATGACCGTCAAACCATGCTTCATGCATTGGTTGAGCTCAAACTTCATGATCATTTCTATTAGTCACTTTGGTAGTTTACTTATCATATTTTACACGTTTCTCTTTTCATGTCATTCAATCCTTCTGGGATATTTTCCCGACATTCCAAAATATAATTATGCTCATGCCTTTATAATAATCTCCCCCTAATGTCAGGAAATGTGCCATAATGTTCTTGAACAAGGATTTATATGGAGCCACTTCTGGGGTCCAAGTATATCATTTCGAAAATGGGGTTTCAATATTGGCACACTTTGGCTCATTTCAACGTGTAAACTTTTGGGGGTTTGTTATTAACAAATGTCGAATTAATATAAACTAGACTTTCTTCATATATTCAAGCAACTTTATAGCAGTTTATCTCAGGCTTAACATTCATCTTATTATGCTAGATATATTTTGTGGGTTACCTTATGCTCGTCACTATATTTCATAGAAGCCGGCAAAATGGTCTTATACCACTCATTATATGTAGGCATTTTAGGGGAGTATATCTTGAGACCAAACTTGATATTAACCCACATTGTGAAACTTCAAGTTCACTTAACTCCCATGGATCCACTTATAAAATATTTGGGAGAAGAGACGGTCGTGTCATTTTCTTATCTAAGAAGTATTTATATACTGGATGTCTTATACGGCATTTGGTTTAAACCTGGGTTGACCTTAAATTGATCATTTATTCAAAAAAAATTAAACTTCATACAACACATGTTTAGATTATTCAAGTATATATAGTATAGTGTGAGGAGAATTCTGCTACAGGCAGATATTATAGAAACACAATTTACACTGCATTGGTATGGTCTCAAACTATCACCCAATAAGTATGATATCACTTTTAAAATTATTACTTCACAGTGTTTGAGTAGCTTCTTTGAGCTTACACTCAATGCCTGAGATTTTATCATTATTATTTATGTGCACAACATGTTTATAAATGTAATTTGTGCTTCCATTACTTTTTATCCTTAATTTGTATGACTATCAAAAGTTAAAATATTTCAGGCTCCATGCCACAAGTATATACATGCTTCAGGCGTTATATCATCCCTAAGACAAAAATAATTTGTCTCTAAAACAATCATTTGTATAGTGATTTCTTACTCTCATAGAAACAATACGAATCACTCACCTAGAAATGTATATGGAGAGTCTAAAGATTAGATAATGCTACTTCTAGAGTAACATAAAAGGTATCAAATAATCAAATTTGTTAAAGAATACTTAAATACTTGTCTCAAAGTATTAACTTGAATGAATTTCTTAAAATTTGCCTTGACATGTAATAAAATGCCTTGTGGATATTGTCCGGTTTGGTACTTCAGGACCTCACGGCTTTAAAACTCATCCACATGAAGGGCTTCAGGCTTTGCTTATAAATGCGTACACTATCTCATGTGTGAGCGATGTGTGAACTTCGGGTTCAAAATATACTCACTTGTACGACAAATATATGCTCTTATAGTGACTTCTGGCATTTTGTTATAATTTCATATATCTATTTATGAAATTTTGTTTGATTTCTCCCCCTCTCAAATAGATTAATTTGAGCAAATCATTCTACATAATTACAATAACTTGTGATTTACTAAGCATTATTTGCGTATCCATAGCAATATTTAACTATGATTCAAATATAGTTAAAATTTACATCATGTTTGCTAATCATGCATTTTCTTAAACTATATCACTTCCTTGAATGTTTTATACAACATTGAAGTTATATGAGTCATATTAACTTATCGATTAATATTCAAACAATCAAGTTTCTCATATAAATGTAATCATATTATGTACAAAAAAAATGACCATATTTCTAATAGAGATGTGGCACGTACCTGGAACCTCCAATGCATTTTTCTTAATGCTTACATTAGCTCAAAGTAGCATGAGATAATATTTATAATAATACAAATAAGCATTGGAAAGGCAATGAAATGTTAACAAATTGATAAGCATATCCATCATACATGATCAAGTTAATGAAGTGCTACTAAGAGCATAGTAAACAATAAATCTCAAAACAACTTTAGAAAATGCTACTACTGGAGCGAGACTTAATTGATATCTCATGCGGAGTATAAGATTCAATTTGTGATTATATCAAATATGTATCATCTAACCAATCATGATGTATAAATTTCTCAAATTACGATTTGAGATAAATTAGTAAGATTACTAAAACCATTTAAATCTCCTATGAATAAATATTATTCATACTAAACTTTAACAATCAACATAAATGTCTAGTTAAAAGCAACAAAATTCATATTTCTAAAATTCTTGAGAGAGTCATAATCAACTACAGTCTCAAAATTATATAGTCTTAAGCACGTCCATTAACTGCAGTTAAATATTGACATTTCAAATCTTTGGGGAGGTGGTGACTGAAAAATATTAATCCATATTGTTTTAGCCTTATCTTCTTTGAATGTTGTATTGGTCATTTTAATGGTATCTCCTAAACTTTTGGCATCTCACTTAGAGATACATTCTAAAACGTTTGAATTTTAAACCTTTTTTTTATCGATATTATTTTATTGCAACTAAATTTAATTCATGCCATTAATTGGATAAATAATTGCTATTCCGTAAATGATATTGACCAATAAATGTCATTAAATTCCATATTATAAAAATTTCATGATGCAACCAATATTAACTCAAGTAAATACTATCATGGCATAAAAAAACTCCATAAAACGTACTCACAATACGATTTTATTTTTAGAGCAGACGGTTTTTGAAAACAAAAATACCATGTTAAACATATCGTGTACCGACACATGCAGTACTAAATAGTACAATTGAACTTAAATGTCATAAAGGATAATAATGATGAATATATATGCTAATTAAATTCAATTTATATCATTAATAGAGCAAGTAAATGCCGTTCTCTAACCGTTATTGGCAATAAATACGTAGGAGTTATATTTTTCAATTGACTAATAAATGCCATTAAAAAAACTAATTTAATAAAAAAATGACTTTCCTTCTTATTGTTTGAGCCTTTAGTCCACTTCTTTACTATCCCATTCACGTTAATAAAAAATTCCTAAAAAATAGATCTTATTCTTACCCCGGCCTTCATATGATTTAAGATAAAAAAATCACTTGTTAATTCCAAAATCATAATATTATAAGGTCACAAAAATGTTGGTATAGATGATCACTAATTCACAGGCACAGACACACATAGAAGCAGTATGATTTTCTTACTAATCAATTGGTGAACATTGGAGAATCAAAACATTAGAATCGGAACAATAGCATATACTATCACACAAAATTTAACACATGAGCTAATGATTCATGTTTTGTGAAAACATTTGCGTAGTATATACTCCATAATATTTTATCCCAGAAATGCATCTATACACATGAACTTTCATATCCATTTCTCTTTTATTTTTCATTGCTCAATCTAGTTAAAAAAAATAGAATTATAAATAGATCAAATTTCATTAAAAATAAAACTCAGTTCGCCTAGTGCTAGGCACTCACATATTCCAATAATTGAGTGTGTTATAGCTAGGTTTATTATAAAAATAAAAATAAAAATCATCAATCAATTATTGCTATATCAGACTTGGCAAGGAATTTTCTAAGTCGGTCAGCCAGTTTCGGTGAATGTTTAAAAATATCCATGTATATTACGTTTCGTTTCGAATTTGAAGAAAATCAAGGGAAGTAAGCAAAAAAGAAAAACCTGATGAGAATCACTATGTTGGGAAGTCCAACACGTGTGCCGCCGGTTCCCCTCTTGCTTCTGTTTTACTGGGGTGCGGCCTACGGCATCAGCCTATTACAATTCAATTCCGACTAGCGATTGCATGGCAGGAGAAGAAGACAAGCCGAGCAATCGGAGGTCGTTGATCTCCTGTAAAAGAACGATGTTGGCCGGTGAATAACTCGGGCTGCGCAGGACGCCTTTGATGGCCTCATAGCAGTGACCAGACAGACGTTCAACCAATCCTAAGGATGTGCGATCCATTTTTTTTGTGGTCAAAGGGGCGATGACCGATTGGAAAGAGCGAAAATAAGGGATGCGTAGAAACAACAACAACAAGGATTGCTGGCACAATGCAATGTCAGCAACTGTTTCACGCGTTGCGGCGGCGCCATTGGGATGAAAGAAAAACGGGCGGTAGAGAAAATATCGTGACAAAAAAAAGGAGAAAAGTCTCAGGGTTTTAGAACAAGCCGTGCTAATAACGTGTGATAGTCTGAATCCAATCATCCTTCTCATTAACATGTACATGTATATATACAAGGGGAATTGGGGATAGGGTTACATATGGGATGGGCTGGACTCTAACAATACTAATGGGCTAGATATCTTAATGGACATCCATATATTACATAACAATTACAACTTATTTGAGAAATGTTGGGTGCCCCAATTTGTGTAACTCATTCGCAAATAATATGTGTTCCATTTGAAGAGGATGACACCCCATCCTCTTTACTCTTTACTCGACTACATACCAAGAAGACCTTCCTACTATGTAAGTCTTTACATCCTCTTCACTTCCCAAACTATCTACTACCTACCGCCTCTTCTACTGCTGTTTTGTTGAGGTAACGATATTTCTGTTTTTGTTTATTTTAATTTTAATTTTGTAATATGATTAAAACTTCGATATACACATAATCATGTATTGTTATGTTTAGTTTGCACTATATTATTCGTTGACTCGAGCATTAGATTGGTTCATGTAATTCATTATTCTTTTTGTAAGTCACTTGTAGGTAAAGTGTTCGACGAAGTGCCTAATAGATAGTATAAACTTGATATTCTCAGGTTTTAAACAGTAAAATGTTTTGAAGCTAATTGTTATTGTGTCTAGATAAGCAAGAGGTGTGTGTTGATCATTCAATATTTAAAAAAAGAAAAGTAATTCTCAAGAAATAGAGTATAGGGTGAAGTGCATAATTCTCAAGAGGTGTGTGGGTTTCTGATGACGTTTTCATTGAGATCTACTTTAATTACATTCACTTGATCATAAACTTTATTTCGTTTTTTGAGTTGTTATTTTAGAAAGTGTAGGGTGAAGTGCTATGTTGGAAGCTTTTGTATTGCATTTAAAAAACCAGTGAATTGTCTTTATAATAGTTTATTTTCTACTTGTATGAAAAAATACTAATAATTTGAAATAATTGATATGGAGTACTACATATGAAGTATATGAATGCTGCATTTTACGTTTGACTACAAAGTAATAAGTACCCATTATAATTCTTTAGTTAAAATAATATATATATTCCATTTGATGTTTCTCAACTATTAAATATTTGTAAATTTGTGTATTCATTATTTGCTTATTCTGTGAAAAATTGGAATTAAATCCATAGATATAAAGCAGAAAAGATTGATGTGAATTTATGTTTAAAATCCACTCTAATTCAGGTTTGGTTTCTTTTGTAAATATATCAGATTTAAAATGTTAAAGTGAAATAAAAGATCAATAAAAGCCTATGAAGCATGGAATCTCGGTAAAGAGTATGTTTCCATTTCAGAAACTCCGGAAACTTTTTGAAAACTCTCCAAACAGTTGATTTTTATTGAAAGTTTAAAAGATTTACTTTCTCTTTCCCCGTGTTCCTATGTTTCCATGCAACATAGATAAAATCCACTTTACTACTGTTATTTTAACCCTCTTACAACAGTACAACTGTTAGATCATATTATTGTTCTTTTAGGGATTTTAGCTATGGTGCACAGAAATGTGAAAATCATGGGGAAACGGGAAACATAATCTCCTAGTAGAAAAAAAATTGTTGGATGGAGAGTTTTCATAGAGTTTCTGAAATCAAAACATACTCTTCCCCGAGAGTTTCCGTGTTTGATAGGATTTCAGTAATGAGTGTTTCATTAAATGATTAGACATAAATTTGTTGGAGAAATATTTAATTTTATTAGAGAAAGTCGTTCAGGTAGATTTGTGGTTTTAATTTATATCATGTATGTATCTCAGTACTATTTATATGCATTTCGTGTGTCTATGTGCAGTTAAATATGGTAAAATTTACACAAATGAAGTCTAACACATGCAACATGGGTGCAAAAAAACAAACAAACTTAGTGTATTATTTCCATGTATTTATTCTCTTTATATATTGTGATCATGATTTGCCATTTGAACCAGTAAACTTAACAGAAAGCTATTCTACAACACATTTATCATTGGGAAAATGGAAACCAATAATCCAACCTTTTAGCGGTCTTTTTACAATAGTCCCACCTTTTCATTATTCATGAATAATCCAACCTTTGCACCCCATCTTCATTCACTGGTCTCTGACCGATTTATGACCTGTTATTCCAACTTATTTTCTTATCTTTGCAAAACATTATGTGATCATAAGGTGGGAATAATGGTATAATGTTTTACAAAGATAAGAAAATAACTTAGAATAACATGTCATAAATCGGTCAGGGACCAATGAATGAAGATGTGGTGCAAAGGTTGGATTATTCATGAATAATGAAAAGGTGGGACTATTGTAAGAAAACCGCTAAAAGGTTGGATTATTAGTTTCCATTTTCCCTTTATCATTTTAACAACTTTTAATGCTCTGACTCTTTTATTAATAAATTATATTGTGCAAAATATTTTTCAAAAACTGTTTTTGTAAAATTCTTATTTTGTTATTAAGCTTGTGATCTGCTTAATATTTTTTAAACTTTAGAATTTGATTTTGAGAGTTTATTTGAGTTGTGCAATACACAATGTTCTTGCAGGATATATCTCAATTTGTATAGTATTCTCTACTCAAGTCAAAGTGTTAAACATCAATCTTTATATAGGGAGTATTTAAAAACAACATTAAAAATTCTACTGAAGTATAAAACCGAGTATTATAGAAAAGCAATTCATAAATTCAAAGACTTGAATGGAATTCCAAGACTAATAAATAATTAACCAATATCAACCAAATACTACCTCAGTCCTGCAAATAAGGTTGTGATTCAACATACATAAATATATATTCTCTCTGTCCCGTTATCTTTGTCCCATTTTTCCTTTTTCATCTGCCCCACTAAGTTTCTCCCATACCATATATGATAATATTTGTGTGGTTGTAATTCATTCTTATTTTATTCACACTTTATTAATTCAATTTCAACCACATAACTCTACTTTTCACTTTTCTTAATAACCACACCACCTCCTCTTGTCCCAATCTTAGGAGGCGGATTAGTATATATATGTGCAAATTAAAGTCTTGAACTAAATTTCTAATTATACGCCTATTTTATGTCAAATTAAACACACAAGTAAAAAGTATGGGTAGTTTTAACATTTCTTATTAATACTTTCTATATAAGGAAAGGGAAACTTCATTTTGTTGAGACAGTAAACCTTGTGAACTTATTTTTGGGAGGGAGCAGTAATTAACATGTTTAAGTTGTGTTGTGCAAAGTACAAACCATATTCAGTCTTACGGGCTTATAACCTGTTGTCCTGTACTTAAAGTTGAGAGCTTTGCTCCTAGCTAGATCTGCCATGGCTGGTGGGTTAACTTGAAGTTCCTACAGTAGGCAAGACAAAAAAGACTTGAAGAAGGAAGATGTTTGATCACATAACAACAAGTGAAATAGCAGGCTATGCCGTTGGTGCTGTGCTACTGTGTGCAACCATATCTGCCCCTAAGATTGACTCTTTATTCGCTGCTCCTCAACGCAGGTTAGAAGTTAAAACATTAAGCAAGCTCCAGCTGCAGGTTCCTAATAATATTTTCCTCAAATATATCTCTGCAATTTGTTTTGTTATTGTTTATACAACATAGATCTGAAATCAGAGGAGATAATGGTTGTAACCCACACACTAAAGCTATCTATCATTTGAAAGGTGTGAACTAAGATTAAGCTTAACAAAGTATTATTTACAAGTAGATATTAGATATATACTTCGTATACCTTAAGCATGATGATAACGCTCAGAGAATACAACATGGAGTGACGCCTCAGTATGACAAGATACCAGTTAATTAAATAATTAATGATGTATAATTTTTAGGGATGCACATGAATTTCTTGTCATAATGTATTTAGGTTAGTAATATGTTTATTAATATTTTCTCTAGACCAGTTCAGTCAAACCAGATTTAGACCTAACCGAACTTAAATAGACTAGACCGGATGAGACAAAATTAGACTTAAATAATAGTCCATGGTAAAACACACATAATATCAAACCTTACTAGACCTAGACTAAACAAGACATAGCAGAAGAGATCTGAAAATTTCAATCAAAAGCATCCTATATTCCAAGGTGTAGCTTGGGGCCATGTTAGTCCCAGGCCTGCCCTTAATTGGTTTTGTGTAAAAAAAACTGCCAAAAATTATACTAGTAGCTAACTTTTTTAATTGGCCTAGTCCAACTTATCATTCTAGCTACTTCAGTTGCTATATACCCATTCATTCTACTTATATGACACGTAACACTCTTGTTGTTAATTTGTATGAGGAGCAGTTCACTGGGGATGTGCAAAAGATGTGGGGATCTGAAGGTGATAGCGTGCAGGAAATGCAAGGGATCTGGAGTTATTAGACCCTTCAATTTCATTCCTCCTCCTAATGATGATCATGATTACCAATTAGCTGGCTCAAAATGGAGATTAGCATCCTCTTCTTGCGCCAAGTGTCAGGCCAGAGGTCATTTTAGCTGCCCCAAGTGCTCAAAGAATCTGCTCCAATCTTGAATCTTCTGCATCTCATCATCATCAGCTGATGATTGTGTATTTCTGCTTTTCCTCTTTCTGGCTTTGTGTTTGCTGAAGGATTTATAAATGCTGCTTCTGTGGGATTTTCACCGAGTAACATTTATGAATAAAATTGGATAGATGAGTAGTGTATAAAATTGAAAGCAAGAGTAAAGACACTTGTCTTTTGATGCATTAATAGTTGCCAAACAAGTGAAAACAGTGGAAATAAGACTTAACCTGCATGGCTGTATGCAAAAAATGCTCACAGAAATTGTGGCGCTTTAGAGAATTCACCACATTGGTTCATATCAGACTCAAGACTCCTCACAAGTAGGCTCTAAAGGTTTTAATTTGAAATGACTTTTGATTATTTGTCTATGACCCAAAATATATGGCCCGTTTGCGAATAATAATTCATGATCGAGTATAATTTGCAGGTCACTTTTAAATACTAGAACAAAGTAAGCGTGTTTTATAAGAAATCTGAATTGCCCTTAATAATCTCAATCATCAACTTGACTTTTTTTAGATGTAGAAAATCTATTGAAATTTCAAAATTAGAATTTTACAATATGTAAATTCAACTAAATTCACAAGAGTATTGCGTTTCAAAAGAGAAACAATGGCAAAAATATAACTTGTAATGTTTTGATAGACAAAAATATGATTAATCTAAATTTTGGCTGAAAAGTGACTTCAGTAAAAACTCATCTGCATCCCGTTATATAAAGTAAGAGATTCAGACTGATGTGTTGACCAAGTGAATATGAATTGAGACAATAATAGTGGACGAAGGTAGTATAATTTAGAAAAAATTCCACTTTTGATCACATGACTATTATACTACTTCCACATTTAGTCCCTTACTTTCAGATTGTCCACATTTAGTCCGTGACCATTATCCCCTCACCACCCATCGTCCTTCTGGCCAAAATTCTGGCAAATTTAGTCCACTTATCAGCCTCAAAATCATTCTTTGCATTAAATTTTATACTTCCCCCGTTCCATAAAAGTTGCAACATTGGAATTTCTGCACTATTCACACACCTTACTTTGACTACGATTTTCTAAGAATATATATAATAAAAAATTATGCATAAAATATTAAAAAATTTGTATTAATGTGAATTTCCAATATATTAACTTTTTTTAATGTTTACTAATACGTAACTAAATATAATTACAGTCAAAGTTGCGCGTTGGCAAACGTGAAAGTCAAACTGTTGCAACTTTTATGGAACGGAGGATAGTATAAGGTTGGGTTTTTCATATTAGTCTTTGGATTAAATTTGGTTTTTTATACCTAAAATCTGCATTAAATTTGCCGAAATTTTGGCCGGAAGGACGAGGGGTGGTGAGAGGATAATTGTCACGGACTAAATGTGGACAATCTGAAAGTAAGAGACTAAATGTGGAAGTGGTATAATAGTCATGAGACCAAAAGTGAATTTTTTTCTATAATTTATACTCTCTCCGTCCCGTTGGAATGTTCCCGTTTTGACCTACACACATATTAAAGAAATAAACTTACCAGGGGGTAAATTTGACACTGTTTGACACTCTTTCGACACTGTTTGACATTGTTTTGCACTGTTTGACCTTGTTTTGATGTAGGATAACTTTCCATTTAGAGAAATGGGAACTTTCCAACGGGACATCCAAAAAAGGAAAGTGAGAACATTCCAATGGGACGGAGGGAGTATATTTTATAAGTTTATGAACATATTTTGAATGATGAACATTTTGATATAATTTTCATACATTCATAATAATTTCAGAAATAGTATTGCCTTGTTGACCGTCATTGATTAAAAAATTCAACTTTAACAACATTTTCGGAGCAAAAGAAATAGGTGACAACTCCCATACCCATATAAAAAATGGGTTACCTTGCCTATCATTCATTTGATTGATCTACATCATTATATCATTTTTAATTTAGATTTAAATAATTCAACTGCAACATTCTCATTGGTCCATGTGGATAAAGATACGTACCTTACCTCGTGGATAATATAGAATCTACCAAAAAAAATATGAGAGTGAGGCGTAGGAATGACAGCTAGCACATCCCTCATAGTGGCTTAATTGGAGCAAGTGTCAGGTGATGATTAGTCACATCTCAATTGAAAGAGTTGCAACGACTCATTCTATCTGTTAGGTGATCATTAGCACATGGCTCTATTAAAATTCCGACTTTTCTTTTTCCTCCATTCTACTGTATACAAACAAATCCTATGCATTTCGTAATCATCTCTCTCAATTTTGCGAATTTATGTCAGCTTACTGACTCGAAGATGTCGTTCTGTTCTACTCGTATTTGACATTTTATTGATTTTTTATGTATTTCCAGGCGCTCTGCTGTTTAAAGGATGGGAAATCCTGGAAAGAAGGTTTTGCTTACATCCAATGGTGACAATGTCTGCAACAATATTGCCTACCATTTAGCTCAGCGTGGCTGCCAGTACTCCTCTCTGTCTCACCCCTCCCCCCACCATCTATTTCGTTGACATTTTAAAATGAAACTCTAAGCCCTTTATTTTATTCTTGCATTACATAGTGTGAGAGAATTATAGAAGATGAACAATTATATATAAATACATTACTTAAAACTTAACAAATATCTAAGTTAGTAAAAGAAAAGTGAATCCTCTCGTCCTTATTATTAGTATCTGTATATGATTCCATAAAAACCTAATCGGACTTTTTGTTGGTATATTTTTTCATCAGATTAGTCTTAGTGGGTGACGACAAGAAGTTGAAGAGTGTAGCTGAGATGATAAGGCAATCTCTTGAAGGCAATGTTGTGGTGGAAGTAGTTGGCTTGAATATGGAGGATGATCAAGAGACAGTGTTTGATGAAGCGGTTGACAAGGCTTGGAAGCTTTTGGGCTATTTAGATGCTTTAGTGCATTGCTATTCGTATGAAGGTAAAGGCTTACATTATATAAATTTCTGTGAGATATATTTCGTTCCTCATTCATATGGGGAGGGATGAAAATGAGAAAAAACTAGGTGAGAATGCAAACAGGCTAATCTGATTTCATTGGTTTCATATGATGGACAAGTAATTGATAGAAGAGCATGAAAGGTTAGGATGGTTACCACATTTTATAACTTATAAGTTTGCACATCTGAGATTCTTGGCGACCCATCCATATCATTGTCTGTCATCAGTTTTTGGTTTTACAAAAATGGGAAGACGGTCAAAAGCCATATGATATATGATCTAAATGAATTAAAAATTGGTCTCACTTATTTAAATCACGCTAACATGGAAAAATATATTTAAAAAATTGAAAACTACTACCTTTAGTGTTCATTATCTTGTTTTTAGGTTTTAAAAAAATGAAAATAGAACGCAGACATGATAACAAAGTAATTACTTTGGGTGATTCATGATTCTTGAATTTTTATGGGAGCAAAATATTGGGCTGCCAATCCAGGTCCCAAATGCCGAAAAGGAATTACTGAATATAAATGTGACCTCAACTCCATTAGCATGAGAGTTCTGTTAGGGGTTGTACCGTTGTACAAAAACAAATCATGCAGGCTTCACCTAAAAGGGAAAACAGTACAATTCATACTAATGCTAGATATTGTCCCAAAATGACTGGATTTGTTTTTGGGTTTCCTCCCAAAAGCATCATAATGTTCTACATTCAATTACCCATGTTTGAATTGGGTTGACACCCCACCCAAGATTTTATGATTTTTAGGCGTTCAATACATTAGAAGGGGAGCATTCGCGCACCGGTTAAGGTGTTGTTGTGTGACCAAGAGGTCACGAGTTCATGTCTTAGGAGCAGCCTCTTGTCAAAAATTTGACAGGGAAAAAGCTTGCCCCTATACACCTTTGTTGTGGGACCCTTCCCTCATGGTTTAAAAAAGCTCGTAAGAGGCGGGTTTTGAGGCGCGCCTTAAGGTGAGGTGTACGAGAAGGTTTTGAGGCTTAGGTTTTTGCAGGACAAGAGGCTTACGCCTCAAAATTCTAAGGCGCACACCCTGAGGCGCGCATGGATGCATTTTTTGAGGCGTTATTCCTTTGCTTCTATCTTTTTAATGTGCTTGTAGCTTTTAAAAGGCAGTGTTTTATTTAATAAAAGGCTCATACATTAAACACATGTCTACACTAAACCCAAACAAGTCTTGTTTCATTTAAACCCTAACATATACTCCCTATTAAGCAATCTACGTGTCGTTAAAACTTTTTCATACTTCTGCCCAAAGAAGCAGATGGGTAACCAAGGAAAAAATAAGAAAAATAAACAAGTAATGGAGGTAAATGATGATGATGAAGAAGAAGAGAAAGAACTTAAGAATTTTCATATCGATGATTGAAGGGATGACGGTGAGAAGGCTAAAAGATATAAATATATAATGATTCTTCCGAAGACCCTCTCCAGTCATGGTGATTAAGCTTCGAGAGTTTCCAAATTGTCATCTATGTGATGCGTCTATTTTGTGTTTGAATTCTCATTTTGAGTTATCGTGTTTGATAATGTTATCATATATGTGTTTGTGTTTGAGACTTTTTGGACTTTTATTATGCATATCTATAGTTGGTTACTTGGTTATTACTAGTTTAACTATTTTAAGTTTTACTTGGTAAATTTTGAGGCTTACGCCTCACCGCTCTCGAACAAACCGCCTCAATGCCCGAACTAACCTTTTTAAACCTTGCCTTCCCTGGACCGTCACCGTGCGGGGATGCCTTCGTGCACCGGGCTGCCCTTTTTTACACGTTCAGTACCTTAGTTCAATTACTTTCTGTTGTCTTAATAGGTCTACCTATTTTTCAATAAGCACTTTTTTTAATGATGTTGCCTATATGCTTGGTTTTTCCATCATTTGCAATGGAGCCAAAGATTCATTATTTTTTGGCTTGAGATTATGATGGAATAAAGTAAAATGGCTCACTAAACTGTCTGCGCTTCTTTGTTATGAAGCAGCAGTTAGTCTATGCAATTTTGGACGGGATTTTCACTATGGGTCATCTGGAAACAGTCTCTCTGTGCTTTAGTACAGGTGTAAGATTGCGTACATCCGACCCCCCTTACCCCACCGTAGGTGGGAGCCTTTGCGGCACCGGGGTAAATGAAAATGAAAATGATGATGCCTATATGCTTGGTATTCAATGCTCACTTATTGTAGCTGGGTATGCATTTTACTTTGCTTCAAGCTACACAAATTTAGCGGTAATATCGCTTTCTTTTTAATAATGAAGCTCTTGTGTCACTTGTGATAAATGCTGCAACAGGGAAGATGCAAGAACATCTTCAGTTAAATGAAGACGAGTTCAAAAAGATTGTTAAGATTAATTTCAATGCTGCTTGGTATTTGTTGAAATCTGTGGGTAATCGATTACGTGATAGACAAGCCGGGGGATCTATTGTATTTTTATCCACAATTATTGGTGCGGAAAGAGGGTTATATCAAGGAGCTGCTGCATATGGTTCTTGTTTGGCCGGGATACAGCAGCTGGTTAGGGTAAGCATACTTTTGTCATTCATCAACACTTTGTCGTATATGAATTTTCTTATTCATACAAGATAAACACCTACACCCTTACGACGTTCTAGTACTTGATCAATCTCAATCCTTGAACATTTTGAAGATAATAATATTTCTATCTATTGGGATATCTGCAAGGAGAAAGTGATGCTTAAAAGTAAGGGGTGGCCATGGTCCTGGCCTGTCCCAAGATTGCCTGCTGCTAGTCATGGACTCATGGTCCCCCATTTGTTGGGGAGTGGACCAGAACCGCGAAAGAAGGGTCATGGTTTAGGCTGGAGATTCGATATACTTTGTTTTACCAAAATAATTACTAAAGAAAATGGGCCAATCTGTCCCTGCCCGTAAAAAGATTAACCAGTCTGGGACCACTATATCTTAGTGGTCTCGTGACTGGTTCTCTAGTCTTCTGCCGTGGATTGGGAACACAATGTGCACTGCTATTTAGAGTTATCAAACCTAATGATTATGTCTGAAAGTCTCCTAAGTGTGCATTCAGGAGAATAAGCTGCCTTTAACTTCTTATTTGTCTGAAAGTCTAAACCGCTACATAAAATGCTTTCCTTTTAGAAAATCTAGCAGGCTTATCTATTTCATGTTAATAAACACCTATCAAATGAGCACTAACCTCATATTCATTCCCTTTAAAAGAAAGTTAAGACCATTTCCTGGTGCACTAAAAAGGACAGAATGAAGACAAAAGGGGCATATCTAATATGTTGAGGCGTGTTTTGGCCGGGGGGCCTAAAATACTGTGCCTGATCCGGTCAACAATTTTATTGCATCTCGAGAGGCGGCGGGCACACGCTTTTTCAGTGTTTCTGGTTTTGTAAGGACTAGAACTGGAGTTGTGCAAATGTTCCTCCCAAATTACTGATACATGTAAGGGAGTAAATTTCTGGTTTTTTGTAAGGACCAGGAGTGGTCTAGACCGTGTCTACCCCTACCTTTAAATTTCACTTTCCCCATAAGTAAATTTCAACCACAAAATTTCTAATTCTTAAAAGCTGTGTCAACTCGAAAGAGATGACTGAAAATGAGCGAAGGGAGTAATTGATTTTTCTTGTGTTTAGTGACAATTTTGCCTTGACTAATAGGTTAGAAATTATGGCTTCTTTTTACAAATAGATGTCAGCTTTGGAGATAGGGAAGCACAGAATTAGGGTGAACGGGATTGCTCGAGGATTGCATGTGAATGATGAGTATCTCCTATCAGTAGGGAAGGAGAGGGCAGAGAAGTTAGTGAAGGACGTGATGCCACTGAACAGATGGCTGGACGTGAAAAAAGATTTGGCATCTACCATCATCTACCTCATCAGTGATGACTCCCGTTACATGACAGGGACCAATGTCTTTGTTGATGGTGCCCAATCTCTCGTAAGACCTCGTATGAGATCATACATGTGATGTTATTATGTATTGTCATGTATCACATATTTCTACTTGCCAACGGCGGAAACAACATCATTATCAGCCGTAAAATAATTTTGTCTCGAATAAATGCGTACTACTAGTCTATACATATATACTTCTCCGTGTCTGAATACTATCGTGTTTTCTAGTCTAATTTTCCCGTTTATTCTTTAAGCATGGGTTTGAACGTTTTAAACAAAGGCTCATATAGCTAATCGTTTTGAGCTTGGTGTGTTCATATACTCACACGATTGGAGATATAGGTTCTAACTAGAACATCCAACCGATAAGAATAGCTTAAAGAAAAACCAGACCATACAATCTTACTGATTCATACTATTATTACCATTAGGTACTACACATTCACAATTTGGCCTTGTTTAGCAAGATTTATTGTTAATACCATTCAGTTTACATGTAAAAGTAAACTCATATTCATATTATTAGCTGTAGATTTATGTTATCAAAACAACTAGTTTACCAAGTAAGTTTCTATAAACAGATCACTACATGATGGCCAAAACATTTAAACAAGCATTTGAAAAACAAATTTAGGTATTATTGTGTGTGATGGTGAAGGTGCTGTACTACCCATCCCTTATAGACCACAAATTCCTGGATTGAATGAGCAACTGTCAATGGAAGGTGCTTTATAGTACTGTTTTTTATATTTATGTTATATTTTCAGGTTTATAAATTTTTTTATGTATTTCATAATGTTCATATAGAGACTATTTGGTAACACTCTATTTGATTGAATGGCTGAAGATGATGAAATCAGCTGAAAGTGATCGATGAAGTTCTAGATGAAATACTTTCTAAAATTGAACTCCATTTTTAGAGATAAGTAAAAACAGAAATAGTTAATTGTTCTTATAAAATGAGTTTTTGCCACTTTTAGTCCTCCGACTATTATGCTATTGACAAGTACTCGACTTTGAGTTTTTTCACTTTTAGTCCTTCGACTATTGTGCGACAGATACTTTTGGTACCTGTCTTTGAAAATTTCCACATTTAGTCCTTTGACTTTCATAAAGTGACACTTTTGGTCCAACTATTATAATAGTCACATTTTTAGTCCTCCACATATTGTATGAAATTTATAATGGAAGGACTAAAAGCGTCAATTTTATAATACTCAGGGGACTAAATGTGAAAAATATTGAAGTCGAGGATTAAAAGTGTTTCTCGCACAATAGTCGAGAACTAAAAATGGAAAAGTTGAAAGTCGGGTACCAAAAGTGTCACTAACCCAATAGTGGAGGGATTGAAAATGGAAAAAACTCTTATAAAATCAAAATACGAAGTAGTGCATTTTTATGTAATAAAAATATAAAAGTTGATATGACTTGATTTAAAAAAAAATCGTATATTTCAGAATATGTGACTTCATAAAATTGAAAATGAAAGGGAAGTTGCCCTGAATAGGACTAAAAATATTCGTATATTTCAAAATAGGACTCATGTTTTTAATCCTTTACATAGGAGCAAATCCTATCATCTTTTGGTAGTATCGGACTTTATACATGAAAACATTTTTTCAAACTTGACAGTAATTTCTTCTTCATCATTTTCATTTACCCCAGTGCCGCAAAGGCTCCCACCTACGGTGGGGTAAGGGAGCTCGGATGTACGCAGTCTTACCTCTGTGCTAAAGCACAGAGAGACTGTTTCCGGATGACCCATAGTGAAAATCGCGTCCAAATTTGCATGGACTGACTGCTGCTCCATAACAAAGAAACGCAGACAGTTTAGTGAATCATTTTTCTTTATTCCATCATAATTTCAAGTCAAAAAATTATGAATCTTTGGCTCCATTGCACACAGTAATTTCTTCTATTTAGAAAATAAAACACTATAGTCTATTTTGGAATTCTAAAACGTTCTTACACTTATTTTTCATGATTTTTTCCTAGCTAGCAAAAAGTTGATAAAATCAAGAGGGAGAGGTATATAATATTTTCAAGTAAAGAGGTGTATTAGTGCAACGAGTAACCTTCTCATACAACCGGATTGACAAAAAATACTTCCTGGCCGAGTCCGTTTGAGGTGTTATCTAGCAGATTTTTTAAAAAATTGTGAGTATGTTCTCTACTAAGTGTATATGAATTTCACTAAATTTCAGTTTAATTAAAATTCAATTGTGAAGTCAGTTAAATAAATAGAAACATGACTAAATAGAACTAAAACTATGGCAAAAACTCAAAATAGGACTTGCTATGTTTTTTTCAAAATAGGACCATATTAATCCTATTGGAAAGATACCTATTTTTCATTCCATTCTTACCCTTCCTTTAATTATGAGTTAAAAATAGTCAAAAGTCACAATTAAATGTTTAATTCATAATAAATTCGAAAACATTTCAAAAATTAGTAGAAAAATAATTAAATAAATTATAAAATATCTATAAAATAAAAAATTCAAAACATTTCAATATCTTAAGAATTTTTATTATTTTTTATTATTTTATTAAGAATTAAAACATTTCAATATCTATAAGGGTATATTTGTCCAAGACAAATATAATTTGTCCTATGAAAACATAGTTTATTTTTTTGTCCTATTTGTGCAAACTGAGTGACTTTTAGTCCTATTTTGATAATTAACTCTTAAATAAATTATTGAAAATCACTGTGTCAATATATATATATATATATATATATATATAAGCACAGTTTTCTTCAATAATTTATTTAGCTGACTTCCCGATTGAATTTTAAGTTGAAATTTTATGGACATAATCTACATTTAATGAAAAACATGTTCACGAAATAAATCAAATAATTCCACTCGATAATACCTCAAACAGGCTTGGACGGATGACACTTCTGATGAATCTGGTTGCACGAGAGGATTACTTTTATGCTTTGTTTAGATAAGTTTTTATAAAAATTAGGCTAACCTAAGTAACCTAGGTTCATGCGTCAAATATTGTTTGAAAATAAATAAGGTGAACGTAATAAATATTGTTTGAATGAATGTACTCTAACTGATTACATTTTATATGAGAACTTAACCTCCTACACTTTAGAGGTTCTTCAATTTTAGTCCAACTCCTCTATACTGAGTTGGACTAAAGCTTTTGAATATAAGATGTATAGACTAGTGTTGAGATTCAACCTTTTTGTAAGAATTAATTAAAAATGTTTTGGTTTGGTTGGTTTCTCCAAAAGGTGCCACCAAGATGATGAGATAATGATGCACCCACTACCACCACAGCATATGCTCCTCAAAACCCAAACTGCAGAGAGAGACTTTTTAATCCCACTTCTGATGATTGATTCCACTTGGCTTTTGCAGTAAAAACCAACGCCCGCCCCATCGGATTGGGTTTCTCGACCTTGGAAGATGAATTTGATGATGATGATGATATTTTCTTGATGCTACTCTCTTCCTTTTTCTGCCACAATAATAATATATGCTCTTCTCGCTACACCAGATAGCCCTCTCACTACAGGAAAGAAAACGGGCTTCTTTTTTGTCTTGTGTGAATGATTCCCACTACAGTATACAAAAACAACAAAGCTTCGTTTGACGTGCCTCTCTCTCCTTCCTTCCTCTGTGTTCCACAAAAAGGGTAAAGCTTTGATTGGATTTCGCCGTTCCAGTGTGTGAATTGACCAAATCAGGCTTTCCCTATTTACCCTTCAAGTTGCAGTTGATATGTGAATGGGTTTGGTCTCAAGCTGTCAAGCCAATTTTCGTGAAGATGTCTATGAATTCTACCATCCATGGAATCAATGGAATCTTCTCTTCTAAAGTTAGACTGAAGAGAGAAAGAGAATCCCAGCACGGTGGTCTAAGCTGGAGAAGGATTTTTTTGTTCCTGTGGCTCTTTCTTGTTTCCATTGGATTCATTTGGTTTTTCATTAGTAGTTCCTCTTATAGAAATTTGAGGAGGAATGCAAGTTCCCCAGAAATGGATGGTAATAAAGTCAACTTTTTGCTTCAACGTTTCAATGTCAGCAGGGGAGAACTTCATGCTCTCGTCTACTATTTCATTGACACAGATCTGGTGAGCTGTTTTTCTTTTTAAGTTTCAGTCTCAATTATTATTATGAAGATGCTAATCTAATTAATTTTGTTAAATGTAAGTGTTTTTCAGTTTAAACAAGCACTTGACCTCTATTAAGCATCATGCCAAACACACTCTAATGGTATAAACTAAAAATGTCCCCTTTTCCTTTTATCATTTATAGCAGAGGGAGTCATGCCTAATCCAAACATTATTTCACCTATTTGAAACATTTTTTTGAGCTAGAATTGAGTGAAATTGGAAAATTAGACAATTCTTTCCGAAGGAAAAGACAGAAAACATGTCAAATTTCTTTCCTAATATTTTGGGTAGTAGGTCATTCCTCAAGCTGCATTAGTTGCGGCCTTGCGGGATGTATAGTTGGTGAAAATGGTGAATCTAGAATATCAACGTAGAAGAGCTGTTATCCCTTGAACAACTTTGCTTTCACTGCTAATGATTTTTATGCATGGCATCCATTCATATATCCTTTTTATTCTTAATATAATGAGGGTTGTTAATTAATTATAAAAATATCTGGGAGGTTCATTTACTTCATTAATATCTTGAAGGGATAAAAATATCTGGGAGGTTCGTATATATTTCTATTATATAATGACAGAAGATTAAAAAATCTAAATATTTACAAAACAAATTTAAAGAACTCGTTTTTTACTTTAATTTTTCCAAGGTAAAACCAAATAATAGAAAATAATTTCCCACAGCTTTCCCACCTTCCTCTAACACTTTCCAGCATCCAATAACCAACCATACCCTAAATTGATGATTCTTAATACATTGACTGCCACGGTGTTGCTTCCATCCACAAAACTTTTGTTGAGTATTATGGCGGTGTGAACTTGATAAACATATTAATGAGATCGTATAGGTGCTTGAGGATAGGTAGTAACGTTTACTGTGAATAAGATGCCGTTACTAGGATTTCTCAAGTCGAGTTCAGTACTTTCTCCCATCACCACCATCATCATCATTACCCCAGTGCTGCAAAGGCTCCCACCTACGATGGGGTGGGGGGTCGGGTCGGATGTATGCGGTACTTTCTCCCAGCGCATTTAAATTATTATAAGGCACCTTCCAAAATGAGTAGCCAATCTCCCTTTTTTTACGGCGTTTTTGTCTTCCTATGAAGCATTTATTAATACTATGTTCATTATTATTCTCTAGAAGTATTCATTTATGGAACATATTCATTTTCATTTTCATTTACCCCAGTGCCGCAAAGGCTCCCACCTACGGTGGGGCAAGGGGGGGTCGGATGTACGCAGTCTTACCCCTATACTAAAGCACAGCGAGACTGTTTCCGGATGACCCATAGTGAAAATCGCGTCCAAAATTGCATGGACTGACTGCTGCTTCATTACAAAGAAGCGCAAACAGTTTAGTGAGCCATTTTGCTTTATTCCATCATAATCTCAAGCCAAAAAATAATGAATCTTTGGCTCCATTGCAAATGATGGAACATATCAAAAAAAGTAAAACTGGAATGTCATAATACTGCCTAAATTTGTTTGGCAGTGCTATTAAGTGGTCTGACTAATGATAAAGTTAACTCTCCCCTAATATTACTTAAATTAGTATTAATAATTGAAATTACAGTGCTTACAAACTAGATTAAATGTTCTAATGTACCGCAAAAACCGAATTGGAATATGGTTACAAGATCAGAAACAAAAAACAATTATGCTGACCACATGAATAGTAATATGGCAAACCTTTTAGGGATGGATGGTGTAATTTCTAACAACTGAAGAAAGTTAACTACTGTTCTTGGTTCGTGCAATTTGGTTAATAGTGTGGTTCAGTGGTTATGCCTTGTAATAAGGTCTAGGGAGTAATAAAGTGCAATAGGATACTTTCTGAGTTCCTAGATTGCTAGCTTAAAATGCTTTTGAGTTTGTTTCTACTTTGTTTTGCTTCTCTTAGTCCTGATGATCAAATACTAGTCTAATATATTTATTCTTCGTAATTTCTATTCTGCAGATTTCATTGTTAAAACCTAATGGAAGCCTCAGACATGAATTGAGTCTTATAACCGCTATCACTTGTGTTCTTAAAGTCGTAACTTCAGAAAACCAATATTATGAGAAGCACTGTGAACTGGCAGAGAAACTAGAGGCCTATGAACAGTGTCCTGTTCTGGATGAGACTACCATTAGGCTTATTAACGCTTTTCTACAACAGATATCTGTATCATTTGTTTCACATTATTCATCTTCTTCAATTTCAACACCCCATCAGCTTTGTGAAAAGGTATCAAGTTTTTTAGGTTCACAATGCTGACATTGACCGTTACATGTTATCAAAAGCAAAACCACTCACATCTTTTAGTAGATTTTTGGGCTTTCTTTTCTTGCCAGGACAAAAGATTTTGCACTTTTCTACTTTTGTCATTATTGTAATCTATATGCCATGAATTAATTCTTCCAATTTATTTTTCCTGAAAACATTTTAACCATTTTTATTTTTAAATTTAACCATCGAAGGAGAGAGTGACGTTTCGTTCTGGTTTGCTAGATGTTGTGACATGAGTAGTTGCTTTTTGACACATTTGTGCACCGTGCCTCAATGTTAGATGCTTTTGCATTGATCTAATATAATTTTATGAAGGTCCCATTCATTTGCATGACAATATATTTATGAAGTGTTTTTGTGGATGTTTCCTGTGTTTGACACCAGAAGACGTCTTCTTTCAAAAGAGGAAGTCTCTTTCTTGGATCAATTTTATTCTTTCTTTTTTGTTGTTAAACTTTATACTATAATAGACCATCTTATTATCCAGGAGAACATTTTACACAAATTATTTTTCTGAACAACTAATTATCGTGCTACCAAGCAAAGCGTATTTTATCGAAAGTTTATTTATCCTCTACATTTGCACACATTAGGAAACACTGCAAGTGAGAACATTTGGAGACAAGGGTAAGGATATAGCCTTCCGTTTCACAAAGACTTGCTGGTGGGTCCTTCTTGTCATTGCTGTCATCTGCACACTAAAATGGTCACATGGAGAATCTGGTGGTGGAAACGAACAGCAGAAAGTAGTTTTGCAGCAAGAATTGGCTCAACAACCGCAGCTACTGCAACACTTGCAACAGCAGCAAGCTCACGCTGCTTCTAGAGTTGCTCGAAGGTGGAGGGAAAAGCTTCTTGTGATATTTGTATTATCTGGTGTGGTAGGATCCTCCTGGTTATTCTGGCACTTGAACAAAGGCTTCACACTGGAGAGGGAGAACACACTGGCAAGCATGTGTGATGAACGAGCACGGATGCTGCAGGATCAGTTTAACGTCAGTATGAACCATGTTCATGCATTGGCTATTCTCGTCTCCACATTTCACCATGGAAAGCAACCTTCAGCTATAGATCAGGTGATGTTGCTACTTCATTATTCCACTCTCCTGCCTATTTTTTCTCTTTTTTACAAACAGCTTATGCATAGCCTCTTTTTATCTCATTCTATTCTTAGGATATTTATCCCAGAAAATGTTAAGGAAAGAAAAAGAAACGCTAAGAAAACTTTTCATCTATTTATAAATATTTTTCTTTACATTGGAAAATGCAAAGGATAATGAATTGTGATTACGTTTTTATTCTTTAATACTTTCTCCGTTCTTTAATAGTTGCAACATTGTGATTTTTACATTATTCACACGCCTTACTTTGACCATGATTTTCTACTAATATACATAATCAAATTGTTATGTACTACCTCCGTCCCAAATTGATTTGCGAAGTCAACTTTCTTTGTCAAACAGCTTCATTTTTTGGGAAGCTCAAACAGTTCCATTTTGTTCACTTAATTACGATATCAATTTTTAATTATATTTTAAATTGGATTTTGCAACTTTGTAGAGATTTTAATGTAGTTTCTGAATATGTAAATTTTAATTATTAAAAATTGAATTAATTGTCAATAGGGAGGATTTAACTTTAACATTAGTTGACCAAAAAATGTTGACTTTGAAAAACAATCCGGGATGGAGGGAGTATAAAATATTACTACGTATTAAATTTCTATTAATTTAAATTTTCAAAATATTAACTTTTTATAATGGTTACTAATACATAATTAAATATAATTACGGTCAAAGTTGTGCGTTGGCAAACGTGAAAGTCAAACTGTTGCAATTAAAAGAGAACGGGGGAGGGAGTACATATTCTTAGATTTCCTGGGGTATACATATTCTAAATAAATAAATAAAATGATTCAAAACGAATTTAGAAAAAAAGTTTATTGATATTGTTTTTCCTCCTGGATTTTGTTTCTTTCCATTTTTACTCCTTATTTTCCTCTATTTTTCTTTCTCTGGTCTTTTTAAGGAGTCTGATAATGACCCCACCCTAAAGAAAGCTGCATTTCTTGTTTCTTCACTATATCTCCCCTTGGATACAGAAAGTAGCTGTAAATCTCTACCCTGACACCCCCCCCCCCCCCCCACAATTGCAGAGAACTTTTGAGGAATACACTGAGAGAACATCTTTTGAGAGGCCACTCACAAGTGGTGTGGCCTATGCTTTAAGGGTTCTCCACTCAGACAGAGAAAATTTTGAGAAGCGGCATGGATGGTCAATCAAGAAAATGGAAGCCGAGGATCAAACTTTGGCTCAGGAATATATGCCTGGGAGCTTGGATAGTGCTCCTCATCGAGATGAATATGCACCGGTCATATTTTCTCAACAAACTGTCTCCCACATCGTGTCAATTGATATGATGTCTGGAAAGGTCTGTTTACTGTAAAGACTAAAGAGAGTTCAAGGGCTATCAAATCTTCTGTTCGCTTTTACTTATTGCTGTTGATGTTTCGCAGGAAGACCGTGAAAACATATTGCGCGCTAGAGCATCTGGGAAGGGAGTCCTAACATGTCCTTTTAAGTTATTGAAGTCCAATAATGTGGGTGTAGTGCTTACATTCGCCGTTTATAACACTCATCTCGATCCCTATGCTACACCAGATCAACGCGTTAATGCTACTGTTGGGTAGATCATCAGCCTGAATCTTGGATTTCTTGTATACAGCTTAGATTAAACTTTTTTTTTTTGTTTCTTTTGTTTCTTCTTTTATAACATATCTCATGCTGTTATCTATGGTAAAGGTATATAGGTGCATCTTATGATGTTCCCTCATTAATTGAGAAGCTTCTCCACCAACTTGCTAGCAAACATACTATTGTTGTGAATGTTTATGATACAACGAACACATTTGCTCCAGTGAAAATGTATGGCACAGATGAGAGTAAAATGGATTCCGTCCATGTTAGCAGCCTTGATTTTGGAGACCCTGCTCGGAAGCATGAGATGCATTGCAGGTTATTGTCATTTAGAAAAATTAAATATATGAGGAAAAATGTATGAACGGTGCATTCTTTATTAATAAAATTCAAGTAAATGCCCCCCGGCATTTACCCCACTGATTTTGGTGGTTTGCCTTCCGGGGTAAAAAAATGTATGAACAGTGCATTTTGTTTATTGATTGATTGCCTACCTTGCTCACCACAGGTTCAAGCATAAACCTCCCCCGCCTTTGATAGCGACAGCAGCTTCTTTGGGTGTTCTTGTAATCACCTTCCTTGTTGCTCAGATATTCCATGCTGCAATAAACCGGATTGCTAAATTTGAGCACGACTATCAGAAGATGATGAAGCTCAAACATCGTGCTGAGGCTGCAGATATTGCTAAATCCCAGGTACTTTGCATGCCTCATTAATGAGTAATCCCCTAAATGTTGTATTCTGGATTTACTCTCATGATTTATTTCCATCTCTGAGACGTCCCTCCCATATTTTTTTACTCTACACAACCTTTATTAAATATGTAGTATATTATTACTATTATTAATGTTATTTTCATTCCCCTCTCATTTCCTTCTCGGCTTTGAATATAAACTGAATTATATATTTTTAACAGCCATATGTTTTATGCAGTTTCTAGCAACAGTTTCTCACGAAATCAGGACTCCGATGAATGGAGTTTTAGGTATTTTAACCTCTTATTTACCTACATGGGCAATGTGGGAATGACATAAGTGTAAAGGGGAAGGGGAAAGTAGAGTAATGGGGCTGGGATCCTAGACTCCTGTTAGTGACTTTTTGAGATGAAAGTTCACATAAAATAATGTTTAATTTGGTAGGCATGCTTCAGATGCTCATGGATACTAATCTTGATGACACACAACGGGACTATGCACAGACTGCTCATGCTAGCGGGAAGGATTTGATATCGTTGATCAATGGGGTATTGGATCAGGCCAAAATTGAATCGGGACGGCTTGAGTTGGAATCTGTACCTTTTAATATAAGAGCAGTGCTTGATAATGTGCTATCACTTTCATCAGGAAGATCTCATGAAAAAGGGATTGAGGTATGAAATGGATCCCCCCTGTTACTCATTTTCTTGTGTGTGTTATTACAGCTATTTCCCATGCAATGATTCTTACTGGGGTTTAATGTTTTCGTGGAGAACAGTTGGCTGCTTATGTGTCTGATCAGGTCCCAGAGATGGTTGTAGGAGATCCTGGAAGGTTTAGACAGATAATTGTGAATCTTGTTGGAAACTCGATCAAGGTTTGCCAGTTATCTCACACTATGGACCAATATGAAAGTATAGGCTTGTGAAATATGTGCTTATTTATTAGGTTTTCTTGTGATATTTGTGGCATTTAGTCGAGATTACTGAGTCTTAAATATGTATGTAGGATAACATATGCAATACTCTTTTATATGCTTTTTACATGTTAAGCAAATATGATACAATCTGGAAGTCTGAAACAATTTAGATTTTCCATTGCTCACTCAAGCATCTGTGTGTGTGCACATACAACCTATGAGCTAATTTTGTTGTCAAATTTGTAATAACACTTCGGTCAATTACAAGGATGCGTTTGAAGTAGGTTTTGAAGTAGAGTGTTTAAGCTGAAGATCTTTTTAAGTAGAAAAGGATATTGAATGTTTAAGATTGAGAAAGAACTCTATTTTTTGCATTAGCATGTTCAAAGTGAGTGAAAAGTACTTAATACCTCAGTTCCAATTTACTCGTCTCAGTTGGGTTTTCACAAGTTCAATAAAGTGATTATGAAGGTGAGAGAGGATACTTTTTGTGTAGTGGATATTTAATTTTTGGTGGGTGGAGTTTTATTTAATGGGTAAATCATATCGAACCGCCCAAAAGAAAAATGAAAAGTGTGAGACAAGTAAATTGGAATAGAGGGAGTATTTATTATGAAAAGAGAGCTACCCCCCACCCACAAATGAATAAATAAATCTTTAACAAATTAACCATCACAGCCTTAGTCCTAATTTTGGTAAATAACATAATTCTTCATAATCAATGTTTTGTCATCTTTATTTTCAAAAGCTCAAAGTAATGTTTCTGTTTCTGTTTTTGGGTACCTAGTTTACCAAAACTGGGAACTTCTCAATATACTAAAAACTTTAGACATCTTCATCTGTTTGGTCAACATCGAATAACATTAATTGATGTGGAAATACATCTCCTACTATATATCTAAATTCCTTGAAGGGCTGTCAATATTATAAATTATTTAACAATTCCTGCTCACATTGCAGTTCACAAAAAACACAGAGGGGCATGTGTTTGTGACAATACATTTAGCAGATGAAGTGACAGACCCACTTGATGTGAAGGACGAAGTCCTAAAACAAACCTTACCACCACTAGTTCGACATAACGAGACAAGCTCATCTTTCAACACACTGAGCGGTTTTCATGTGGTCGACAGATGGAGAAGCTGGCACAATTTCAAGAAGCTTAGCAGTGAGGAAGAAATTGGGAAAGTCAAGCTGTTGGTGACGGTAGAAGATGCTGGTGTTGGGATTTCTGCGGAAGCACAAAGCCGTATTTTCACGCCTTTCATGCAGGCAGATAGTTCAACATCTCGAACTTATGGAGGAACAGGAATAGGGTTGAGCATTAGCAAGCATTTGGTTGACCTTATGGGTGGGGAAATCGGATTCTTTAGTGAACCTGGCATTGGAAGTACCTTTTCTTTCACAGCAGCCTTTTCAAAAGGTTCAGTAGAAGCCAAGGGGAAATTGTATGATTCTGGCTTTTCAGACTTCAACGGGCTAACAGCATTGGTTATAGACGGTAAGAGAATTCGAGCAGAAGTCACTAGATACCACCTCCAGAGGTTGGGATTGTATGTGAAGACAACTTGTACAGTAGATGAAGCATGTTCATATCTATCTTCATTTTCAAGAGAAAGGTAATATTATTCTTTCATAATCCTTCTTAAGAACTGAGATTCATGTGTAGTTACAGTACAATGGTTATTTCTTCTACAATTTATCAGGTAAAAAACTGCAAATACTTGTTAAGATTCCAATAAAATATACCCTCCTCGTCCAAAAAAACTCATGTTTCCGAAGTACTTTTGTCGAAAACGGTCATATTACATAAACTAAATGAAATTTTCGCATGATTTACCAAAGAATAGTTACAAACAAGTCCACTATGATAAATTTAATGAAGTAAATAAAATTAAAATGTAGGTAGGATTCCATGACTTTTAAGAGTTATAAGTTTCCAAAATGAAATATTTAACAGTAATAATCAAACAAAACTCTCTCTTATGGACGGATTGAGTAATCTGCAGAGAAGAGAGCTTCTACAAAATGTTTTAAATAATACTATGTAGGAGCTAGCAATTGTTTATATTTGTATTCTCGGTTAATTACCATATACTACGTAGGTTGGAACATCGAAGAAACACATTTTCTTATTTGACAATGGCTTGTACTTGATTTTTTTGCAGTGAGTCGGAGCATTTTGACATGATTTTCATTGATAAAGACAACTGGAATAAGGAGTCTTCTTTTGCACTTCATAACACTGTAAAAAATCTCAGACCAAAAGGCTTGAAGGCTCTCTTTGGATCCACTCCAAAATTGTTTCTGTTGGCAACAGAAATGAGCTCCACAGAACGCAATGATCTTAAATCAGATGGGCTGGTGAATAATGTATTAATAAAGCCCATTTGTCTGAGTATGTTACTTTCATCCTTTCAAGAAGCTGCTGACTTTACACATAAGAGTCAAGTGACTAGGAGGAAACCGTCAACTCTTGGAGATTTGCTTAAAGGCAAACAAATTTTGGTGGTGGATGATAATGCTGTAAATAGAAGAGTCGCAGAAGGTGCTTTGAAGAGGTATGGTGCAATTGTGACATGTGTTGATGGTGGGAAGTCTGCTTTGGCACTTCTTAAGCCTCCTCACAAATTTGACGCTTGCTTTATGGACCTCCAAATGCCACACATGGACGGGTATTCTATTTCATCTCTTAAATCTTCATTCTAATGTTGAGATTAGTCTTATTGGATGATTCTGAGATAGTTGCATTCAAACATAGATCTAACCAGGGGCGAATCTAGAGTTATTATTTAGTATAGGCCTAAATCAAATAAATTTAAGTAAATACTCCCTTAAAAAAACTCCCTTCATCCTGTAAATACTTCGTTTATGGACCTACAAGGCTCCAAATGCCACACATGGACAGGTATTCTATTTCACCTCTTAAATCTTCATTCTAATGTTGAGATTAGTCTTATTGGATGATGATGAGATAGTTTCATTCAAACATAGTTCTGACCTGGGGCGAATCTAGAATTATTGTTTGGTGTGGTCCTAAATCAAATAAATTTAAGTAAATACTCCCTTCATCCCATATTAAAGTTGCTGGTTTGAATTCACAGGTTTTTAGGTATGATAACTAATTAAGTTGACTTTCCAATTATGCCCTTGTGGCCTTGCTATATTAAAGGAGGTTAGCTCCTGTAGGCGTTGTTTGGTGAGTGGGAGTGACATGTACCCTTTTTTTGATACTATAATAGGCGTTGTTTGGTGAATGGTAGTGCCTCTACAGATGTGATACAACGAATCAGAAAATGGATACTATATTAGGCGTTGTTTGGTGAATGGTAGTGACACATAGCCTTTTTTGGTTATGGTGAAATGGGAGAGAAATATATATAAGGGAAAGAAGTAGGAGAGAAATGGAGAGTTTTGGTTGTTTGGTGAGAAGATATTGGGAAAGGGAAATGAGAACAGTGGGTCTTGTCTCGTTTATATATCCTCTCTTACAGAGAGGAATGACTGTCCTCCCAATTTATGCTCATTTTTCTTCGCGTTGCTCAAACCAAACAACAGACAAAATCTACATCCTTCTCTTCTATTTCTCCCTTCTCCATCCCTACCTTTCCCTGTTTTATCTTCTCTATTTCTTCCTTAAACCATACAGAGGAATAATGTAATGTAAATCAGGTATATTCTTGGTGTAAATTTTATCACACATGCATTTGATTACATTGAATGGCTTTTTATTTCACCTTACCGATGACAGCAATGAAAATTAATCATTCTTGTAATAAGAGTAACAACTAGTTGTTATTAAATGATTAGAAGTTACACCCTTCGTCCCAAAAATATAGTTTTTCTTTAAATTTATATTACACGTGCATTTGCAAAACTTATTTTCTATAGTTTAGGGTTTACTTTTGTTGTTCTCTGTTTTGCATCCTTGCAATCAGTTGTCTTCTTGTAATATAAGTAGCAGTGAGTAGTACCGTAAATAATTATACATGTTGCAGGTTTGAGGCTTCTCGACAAATCCGCATTCTAGAGAATGAATATAATGAAAGAATAAACTCTGAAGAGAGAATGGTCGGCATACCTGACAAAGTGGGCCGTTGTCATCTGCCCATATTAGCAATGACAGCAGATGCTACTAGAGCAACAAATGAAGAGTGTGTCAATTCTGGGATGGATGATTACGTATCAAAACCAATCGATGAAGCACAGCTATTTTCAGCAATGTTAAGATTGTTTGAATTAGATTGATTTATGGCTCCTCCCTGTAGAGGCAGGCTTATAGTACCCTCTGATGGCTTCAAATGAGCTAATTAACTCTGACGTTTGGCAAAAAGCTTCGAAGCATATCAGTCAGAGTACAAATTACTTAGTTCCATGTGGTTGGTAACACTATCCTTTCATCTCATTTTTTACGAAAACATTTCAACATATTCTATATTTCTATTAGGGTGTGTTTCACTGTTTTGGATGCCAGAAAGTACTGGGTGGTGGGGAGGGGGGGGGGGGGCAATTGTTCAAAACATAAATTTATACTTCTTAGCTACTTCCTCTGTCCCAGAGTTTTGTCAAAATTAACCCTATAAGTTAAACACTTCCAATTTTGACCAATATTTTTAATTTTTTGTCAAGCATATTTAAGCGATTATTATAAGTTTTGTCAAACCAATATTTTTAATCATTTTATAGAAATATTATTGATAAAAATGCAATATCGTTGACCAAGAAATCAAATTAAATGTGGCAAATGTTTGTGGGATGGAGGTAGTAGAAATAAACAACTAAAATCGGTGCGAAAAAAATCTAAAATTAGCATTACTGAGTTTGAACATCTTTTTTTCTTGCAAATTGTATCATGCATTTTCTAGGTGCCGGGTTCCAAATGGGGCCCTAGGTGAAGGTAATAACACCAATGTCTGATTTTCAGGGTTCTTGCTGGTGATAGCTGATGCTGGCAATGTGCTATGGGTGTTTGAATGACGTTATACATAAATGGTTCAATCAACTACTCAATCTGTTGTTAATAGCCACCTAAGGTACCTGAAGGAAGATAGATTCTGCAGCTGTATATACACCCTCTTGCCTGTTGTCGATTCTATGGTTTGTGATGGGGGTTCCATCTGCACAGGTAATGCACGAGGCAGCTTGGCTTCAATTTATGCCTCTGTAAATGCTTTCCACTTTCCACATGATAGTTTTGGTTCTGAAGTCTCTTCTGTACATGCCTGTAGTGCCAATGAAAGGTATTGCTAGGACTTTTTTCGTGTTGTAAGTAAATGATAGAGTTGACTGTCTGTATAACTAAAGTATAGCTATGACTCTCTTTGTTTTTAGGATGTCAAGTAATAATATGTTTACAATATTTGTTTAAATATAGAAACATTTGTTTGCCCCCCCCCCCCCCCCCCCCCCCCGACTCATTAACATGATCGTTAGGGTATTGCAATGATACGTCACTATAGTTCATTGTGAATCGATCATTTTTTGGATTCGAAAGTTATGCATTCCTTGTGACATACATGTAGTGTCTAAGTTGCTTAGAGCATCTCCGATGCTACAATGCGCACGGTGCACATGTGGTAGGAGAGATAGCCACATAAATATTAACAAATAAATGATCTCTCCGTATTTGAATGAATTTATACAATTTTGGTAAGTTTCTCTCTGCAATGTCAATCACAATTTGATATTTTGATCACTAGTAGTGACAACAATAGTAATTCGACCACGAGTTATCTATTTGGAATAGTATTGAACAACAATGTGACTTAGTAATTTTTAGTGATAATGATGTAAACTTTGAACACAATTATAACTTAGTCACCACGGAATAATAATTAATAAGTAACATTTTTATTTATTAACTTTTTATTAACTCTCTTTCCATCATTTGCAATTGAGTCAAAGATTCACTATTTCTTGACTTGAAAATATGATGGAATAAAGCAAAATGGCTAACTAAACTTTCTGCGCTTCTTTGTTATGAAGTAGCATTCAGTCCATGCAATTTGGACGTGATTTCCACTATGGGTCATCTGGAAACAGTCTCTGTGTACTTTAATACATGGGTAAGATTGTAAACATCCGATCCCCCTTACCCCACCGTAATGAGAGCCTTTGCTGCATTGGGGTGATGACGATGATGAACTTTTTTAGTAACTCTTAGGAAAAACTTTTTAGTAGTAATATCTAAAAAAGCTATTCAAATAAACAAAAAAAAAGTCTAAAAAGGATGGATCGGTATGCCATCATATTTTAGGGAAAATTCTAGAAATAGGAGTAAAAAAGTTTGAAAATTCCAAAATAAGATTGCCATGTTTTTATTCTCCAAATAGAACTAGTTATTGCCAAGTTTGGAAAATACTGTCATGCTTAAAGTCTGAAACTGCCAAAACATGACAGTCTTTAGTCCTATTTTGAGAATAAAAACATGATAGTCTTATTTTGGAATATACAAACGTTTTTAGTTCTATTTTGAGTAATTTTAAGAAAAACCTGTTCAAAGTTCAAACAAACGAACAAAACACAGAGAAAGTCTATAAGGGATGGACCAGGGCCACCACCTACTTTTTGCTTCTTTCAAGTTTCAATTTTTATATTATTTTATTTCTTTGGCTTTATTTTAAATTTAAATTGCACTCAACCAATCTTATTTAATTATAAATACATCTTAACTAAGTAAAATAAATCCAATTAATGTTACTTATTTGATTCTATCAAATAGAATCATCGTTCAATATACTGAATTAAACATGACTTAGACCAACTACTTAACCATATCCAATATCAACATTGTGAATTAAATACATGGTACGTGGTACTACCTCCGTTTCTTAAAACTTTGCCAAAGTTGATCAGCACAGAGAATAATAAAGTAAAAATTGTGTGGTTGAGGTTTGTGTAGAGGAGAGAGAAATAACAGAAACCACAAAATAATTAATTAAAAGGGAAAGTGGCAAAGTTTTTTGGGACGTTCCAAAAAGGAAAGATGACAAAGTTTTAAGGGACGGAGGAAGTATTATTTAACCAACTAATATTTAATTCATTGCAATATCAACATTATGAATTGAATATTATTCATTTCAATTAATATTTAATTCATCGAATCCAACAATTAATTTATTTTTAAATGATAGAATCTTATATATTAAACGCTAATCAAATTAAGGTACTAGTAGCATTCTTAGATATGAAATTCATTGTAATTATATATGGTCCTTTATTCATGAACATTCAGCTAATCTTAGAACTTGATATAGTGTTTATTCTAATAACCTAATCAATGTCACGTAAAGATGTTTTCTGTTGGACTGTAATTTGTTGGTCTGGTCTGATCTGATCTGGCTGATCTGTTTAGGTCTGGTTTGGTCTAGTCTTGTCTAAACTCACCTGGTCTGATAAATATATGGTCTCTATGTATTTTATAATTGTTCAACTCTAGTCTGATCTATTTAAGTCTGATATGATCTATTTAAGTATGATCGGGTCTGGTCTGAGACTGAAAACAATCAAAAGAAAACATTCTTAATCTTTCTATTTGATCCTCAACTATTATATGTGAACTCTAAAATGAATGTATTTATTTATTGGTCAATAAATTATGAATCTAGATATGAGAAATTTCTCTAATGTACATGAGGAATGAGTCCTCTCAAATTTCAATTACTACTTTTATTTGTTTAGTGATATACCCAGTCTGAGTGACCCAGACATGTTGCATCTATCCCGAATGAGTGAAACTGTACAAGTATATAGACAATATAATCAAAACAATGAAATATAAGTGTAATAATATAATGGTGTATATATTTATCTTATACTACGTACCATAAATTAAAATCTCAATGTGATCAAATAGTATATCTTGAAATAGTAATTATATATATTTATGACACATACAAGCTAACACTCAGATACTCTCATAAGATGATGAATGAGTAATATGCCCTTCTAACAGTGGCGGACCCAGAAACTCAGAATCACGGGGTCCCTACTGTAATGTAACTAATTAATAAAAAATTAATAAAAAGAAGAAGTAAAATAGTAAACTAGCATAACATATCATAGTTAACATAACGTATACAACAATTTTAAAGAAATGTCTACTATCAACTAGAGCTCGTTTGGTAACACTGAAATCGGCTGAATCAACTGATTCTGCTGAAATTTATGAAGTTCTGACTGAAGTGGTTGTATTGACTGTTTCTGTTGATTATGAAAAAATATATTTAAAATATATTATATTATTAAAATAAAGAAGAAATGATATGAAAAATAGATAAAATGGTCATCTACAACTGCAGTCAATACAGCCTGAAAAGCAACTTCAACCTTATTTTTCTTATTATTACATAATTCAGCGCGTAAAATCAAAAGTTACATGTTTGGTTAAAAAGTTGGTTGATAAGCCTGATAAGCCGAAAACAGAGTCACTAAACCGGCACTAAAATTTTATAAAGTTATTGTCCTCTATCAACTAAAAATAATGGGCATGCATATGAGAAATCAAATTTAAAAAGCCTACATTTGAAAATTTCGATCCAATTACTTCTCATTATTTTATTTGGATTTTTATTTAAAATATATTCGTTAGCTTTGTTTCTATTTTAATTTAATACAATTACCAATTTATTTGTGTAACTTTAAGGACTTTGTTGTTGGGCTGATTTTAGTCTTAGATCAAATCACATCAAGCCAAACTATGCGATATGATAATGGCTCAAGTGACTGAAACTGCTATATTAGGTGATGGAGTATATGGGTCTGAGCCCCAGGACCCACATACTCGGAAGAACAGAAAGCACAAGACAACAGAGTGGCGCCCTCGTCGGCCAAGACGCCCCCGTCGGCCGAGAAGAAGCCAACTCGGATTGTGGTCCTGAATCCAAGGAACCCGGGTGCCCTCGTCGGCCGTGCCCTCGTCGGCCGCGCCCTCGTCGGCCACGAAGACCTCCCATAATCGGATTCTATACTTGCTCATTTGTACAGCCCATTAGAGGCTTTGTATTCGGCCCAGTAGCGGTCCAGTTGTAAATGGGCCTCCCAAGCCCAAGGCTTGGGAGCCCAACCCTAATTTTCTCTATAAATACTCCCCTTGGGAGTAGTTATAGGGGTTACAAATTCATTCTATTGAAGAATATTATTGCACTTCTCTCTCTAGCTCTCACTTCTCTCTAGAATCTAGGAGATATACTCTATCATTTGGTGCTCTCGTTGAGAGCTAGAACAATCAAGTTAGCACCCTTCGTCGCTACCAAGCACAGCTAACCACTGATCATGGGGAGAACTAAGTCAAACCGCAACCTCGTCAGCAAAGTCATCCCGGAGGACCAAGAGCCCAGGGAGCACGATGAGGACGCCACGGCCGACCAGGTCGGCGGAGGGGACCTCTTCCAGGAGGCCTTCAACCTCACGACGGACCTCCGCAACCAACTCAACGGCGGAGTCCCCGACGCCCGCCTCGGCTTGGAAAAGAAACGAGCTGAGAAAGCGGACCACGCCCCGGCCCATCCTATGGCCACGGCCTCTCCGTCCGTAGATCCTCAGGTCCAGGCCGCACTATCGGCTATCATCGCCAGCTTGGCTCAGAATCCCACTGTCCTCAGCGCACTCTTGCCAAGGACCGGGGGAAACGTCACTCCACCTCCTCATCCCCAGCCGTTGGCCGTCCAGATAGGCAACAATGAGGGGGTTGTGGCCCAGGACACGGCATCGTCCCACTCCCACCCTGCTTCCCCTCTTCGGCCCGGGCAGACCCCAGCGCGTGGAAAAGCCTCTGCCTTCAATAGGCTGGGTGACACGCGCCGTCGTCCGGTTTCGGAGAGGATGGCGGGGCGGATTGGTGATCCACGTCCTGGTTCGCCAAGGGAGAGTTTGGGGTCTGTGTCCCGGACAGCGGACCAGCCCCGCCCGGACAAGGGCAATGGGAAGTTGCACGAGGATGACGTGCGTCACCAGATCAACGCGGCCCACAACGAACGCTTGAGGAACCAGTCGGGTGCCGCCGCGGCCGACAGAGACCCCCGGGACGAGGTCATCACCCAGCTGGAAAGGAGGTTGGCTCAGATGGAGGCCAAGCAGTCGGCCAACGTCCCTACGGCCGGCGCCTCCAACGACCCCGGCCTCAACGCGCTCATGAACAAAGTCAGCGCCCTGGAGAGGGAGCTGGCCGAAGGGCGGGGTGACCCCATCATCCAGGTCAGGACTAGGACCCCTTTCACCAACAGGGTCCTCTCGGCCCCCATCCCTGAGAAGTACAGGGGGAACGCCATCAAGTCCTACGATGGCCGATCAGACCCCCAGGAGCACTTCAGCCGCTATCAAAACAACATGCTGATGGTGAACGCGTCCGACGAATACCTCTGCCGTTGGTTCCTCTCTACTCTCGAGGGGCC